ATATGTATATGCTCTGTGTTTGTCTGAGAGGGTAGAATCAGCCAGAGTATCAGTTTCCAAACTTAAGACCTCTGCGTGTCAATGGCAGGGCTCTGTGGAGCCACACCTTCATGTCTACATACTCCAAGACAATCCATCATGATTTATGTTACTTGCTTGTACACGAACAAGATAATTATTTGAACAGAGCATTTCAGGGCTAAAAGAAAAGTGAGGGAACCACTGGGTCTAGTGGATGAGAGCCCAAGGAGGTGGGACAGGAATGGGAAATGAGAACTATAGAAGATAGCGTTATGAGGCATGGCAGGGAGGAAGGAGTTCAGAGTCAGGAAGAAATTGAATCCTCTTAGAAAAACTGGGGGTTTATAAAAAATGGAGGTGTTTGAGGGTTAAGGATAGAGGACTTGGAACATGGCCAGGATGGTTGGAAGCCAGAAAGAGATGATCCAGAGTCTGTGTGTCTGAATAAGAGAAAATGCAGAGCAGGAAAGAAGGAAGGAGCACAGGCTGAGCTTTGCAGTCCTTTAGATGAACAGGTGCAAGCTGGAACTGAGTTAAACCTAGAGAGGATTTTGTTTGCCCACTTATCCAAAATACAAGCTGAGAGAAACTGTTCCAGACTTAGGCTGAGAATCTGATGTCACAGGAAGTGCGGGAAACTTACTTCTTAATATACTTAAAATTTAACTTCATTTTTTTAATCAGTAGGTATTTATTGAGCTTCTACTATGTGACAGATAGTTTTCTAGGCAGTAGAGATACTGAGGAAACAAGACAGAAAAAAAGTCCTTGTTCACCTGGAACTCATGTTCTGATGGGAGGAGATAGAAAACAAAGAAACAAGTAAATAATTTAAGGAAATAAGGTGAATGCAGACAGTAGTGTTATAAAGGAAACAAAACAAGGTGATATGATATAAGGTGAGTGACTAGGGATAGGGGTGGGTGGATAATTTCGATGTAATTTGATTTGGTTTTTAAAAAGATCACTCTGGCTGCTCCTTGGCTGACTTGATAGCACAGATCCTACAAAGGAACCTGCTGACCTCATTTTGTCCCCTCTGGGCACCAGGTGACTAATAAGAGGTTTTAGCCAGCCCAGGTATCTGTATTTAACAAAACATAAAGGAGCTTTTATTTTTTTATATTTTAATATAATTTATTAAATTATAAGTTCATACTCATTAATTTTTCATAATGATTGTGTTTAGAAAAAAGTATTTTTGTTTTAAGTCACTGAGTTTTGGAGTGATTTCATTTTTCTGCAATAGCTACCTGGAACAACAGTAGAGATGAGATGTTACACGAGTGCATGGAAAGGATTTCTATCCCAGATTTGAGTGAGGGAAGACAATAATTCCTGATTCCCAGCATCTCTGAGTCAGGGCACCCCTCCTCAGAGAATGCCCACTACTTCATCATTGCCACAGGAAGCTGAGACATAAAGGAGCTTTTAAACTTGAGACCTAGTGAATATGACAAGACTCGTTTTGGCTGTGTGACATTGACAAGAGAATTTTTTGAGATGGAATGAATCTGGCTTATAAAAGGAACTACATGCATCTTCCCCAAAATGTGCAATAAGCCTTAGAAGTTACACAATAAGGTTCTCCTCATTAATAATCTGATGAAAACTCCAAAGAGTCCCAATGCTGGTCCACAGTGGATCCTCTTGTTCCTGTGTTTCTCCTGCTCAGATCAGGGGTTCTTTCTGTATTCTGGTCCCCAGGAATGGCTGTGTGATTCTGATAACTGCCATCCCTTTTTGGGAAGCAAGTCTCCATGTGCTGGCAGCTGCATGCTCCCTGACAGTGATGTTTAAACTGCGGCGGGGAGGGGGATCTTTTTGATGGGAAACCTATCTTTCCTGCTTGATGTCCCCTGTGTGTTCCTTCAGGAAACTTTCTGTGTAACATTATTAAAAATCCCCGGGCATCGGTAGCTAAGAAGAGCACAGTTCTGTGACTTTTCAGTCACTTCATGCTCCATATGCCTTCCCTAGAAAGGGAAGGCAGAAAATTGGTAAGAGCTAGGTGTCCCAGAACAGAATCTTTGGAAGTGAAACTCCTGATCCTTAGGTGGTTGTCATACCAAAGTACCCAAATATCAGCCAATCTAACTGGAAAGCTATTTGTTCATCCCTGGGTCTTGCTGTTATTCATAGACAAAGATACTAAAGTTTAAAGGACAATAGTCAAATGTCATTGCTGTCTTTCTCTTTGGCAACCAACAAATACCAGCTTTTTTCTAAGCAGGAGAAGCCCAATTTCTGAACAGAGCCAATTTATAAATACCATTGCTTGGTCCTGCAAAATGAAGATTGTTCTACTTAGAGTGACAATTCACGGTCTTGGGTGTTAGTAAATATCATCTCGTTGATAGCGTGTAATTTAAAAACTCACAAAACTGCTATTATGGATTTTACCATAAAACCATGTAAAACCAATGATCATCTTTGAACCTGCAATTGCAGGAGTTGGGATTTACAATGTCTTATTTTTAAAAGAAGGGCTATGTAGGTATTTAGGTGGATTCTTTTTCACATAAAGGATTCGCCATATGAAGGCTTCAACAAAAACTACCTAATGATTGTCAAGATAGTTGGCTCTGACCTTGTCCTGGTAACTAATTGCTCTCTCAGTGACAAAATAGAAAAATTGAATTTCAATTTTAAAAATATCCTAGCCAACCTACTATTTAAATGCTAAAGTATATGTTGATTACTTTCTCCCCAAATCATGACAATTACTATCATTTGGCATATTACATATCTACAAAATATCTTAAGGAAGAAAATTAAAACCTTAGGGTAGAGAATCATATCTTGTAAAAAGGATTTAACAGCAGGAGTAAGCCTGGGTTCTGACAGCTACTAGATAAATTTGGAAGCCAGGAAAGATAATCAAGATACTAAGACACATGTTTTAATCAGTCACATTGGAATAGTTGCCAGGTAATGGAGCTCATTAGAGGAAGTAACGTATTCCATGTAGCTATATTAAAGAGTCCAGCATCCCAGACGCTGCTGATATCCTATGCTTCCAGTTTTCTGGGAAACTTCACCTGCTTGGCAGACTAGAAGCACCATCCAAAGTTCTTTGCTTGCCTTTTGCCAAGCTCTATAGTCTTTAAATGTATCTGTAAAGATAAAGATACTGGAGTAGAACCAGTTTGCAGAGTCAAGGAAGTGCAGGAGAGCATTCTTGTTATTGCTTTCTTACCTCATTAACAAAAAAAGTGTCCCACAGAATAAAAAAACAAAAATCTCAGCAGGCTGATATTGGAAAATTCAAATTACCGTTCCCTTCATAGTAGTAATTCCCTGCTGAATGCAGATGAATTCATATTATTTGAAATATAGTTAATTCAAAACACTGCATGCTTATAGTTTGGAATAGTTGGTCCCGTGAAATATGAATTCAGACGTATTTGTTTACTTCCAAGTGAAACAAGAATTCTGATCGCCTTTTAATAGGAAAAGAGTGGACTTGGTGAGAATACACATACAAACATCCTTTTATCCCTGTTACCTTAGTGATTAGGTTTTAATACAGGCCCACAGCTGAAAATAGTGTGTTCAACTGAGTAGCAGATCCATGTATGGAGATGTTTGCTAGATACCCCAGCATTACAGGGTATCTGTAAAAAGGGAAACCCTCTCCCTGGGGAACAGTTTACTTAGCATTTACTGAAGGACATGGAATGCCAGTATCTAAACCTTACCTTAAGCTGTCCTCTTGATTTTCAAATTGATAATACCTATACATCTTGCTTGATAAAATATTTATTTCCCTGTAAGTTTTATGTTTGATCCTCTTGATGAGTTGCTGTAAATTCAGATGTACCTTTCATACTCACAGTGAATATAAGTGTGCTCCTTTCACTGATAATGAATGAGTAGGGGGTATAAAACCCTCTTGAAATTACAAAGTGTTAAGCACTATATAACCTTCCTTCGTATTTGCCCTGGGAATGAGTATTAGAAGCATAGAAATGCCCATTAATCCCACCCTTTTGTGGCATGACTTCCCCAATTATGGTTGTCTGTCTGTCATTAAGGTAGTGCTGGGAACTTGAATTTTGAGTAAATTTTAACAAGGTGAGACCATAATTTATTTTAATTGCTGATGGATAATAATGGCTGAATAGCAATGGTTGAGATTTACGGAAGTGGTATTCAATTTCCTGCTGCTGATGCCACTCTGAATTTGAATAAGGCACTTATATATTCTGTAAAAGGTTGATAATGTAACCAGTTTATGGCTTACCTCACAAAGTTAAAATGCATGTGAAGATAAAACGGAAAGAATTTAGGTCCTTAGGAAAGAGCCAATATCCAAATCTAGAAATTTTACATTAGCGTATTAACGTGAGCCAGCTATAGAATTAACTAAAACCCCCAGGTTTGTGGACCTCATGAGAACACACTCTCATTTACAGAAAAAACAAAAAACAAAACAAAAAATTCCACAACAACCCCAAACACAAACAAACAAAAAACAACTGCTTGGCCAGAAGAGATGTAAAGATGTCCTGATGATATTATGTGAGTCTGTGGCCATCTCTTCATGAACAATTTAAAAAGATATATAAGATATATATATAAACAGAGAAAACTTGAGAAATGGAATTCGGGAAAGGAATTTATGATTATTTAAGAAAAAATACTAGGTTATTGCTTATCAAGTGTTTTTGCAACAGTATTCTTAGCAAGGCAATTTAAAATAATGATTAAAAATGGAAAATTACAGAACTCCCAAACCAAATGGTTATAAATTACTTAGTACTTTCAAAGTGATACTTTTTTGTTCTGCTCTAATTCAAACACCTGATGACTTTCTAAGAATTTGTGCAGGGCCTTTCTTTCAGGATTTAGAAAAGGCCTTCTATTTTATTGTGCTTTATGTGTTACCAAAAATTAATAAATAAATTTTAAGTTAAATTACCATGATAAATATTTAGAACATTCTCCAGCAATTCATTGCTATTTCTTTCTTCCAGGCTTGTACAGCATATGTGGATTTTATGATTTCTGTGGCCAGGTTGATTCGTAAGGAGAGAGGACTGCCCATCGATGAAAACCAACTTTCTTTGGAAATGAAGAGAGTTATGGAATTGGAAAAAGAAATTGCCAATGTAAAACACATTTTCTCTAATTCATTGAATAATGTTATCACTCTTTTTTTTTTTTAAGAATTTATTTTTTACTTGAGAGAGAGAGAGTGAGTGAGAGAGTGCACAAGCTGGAGGCGGGGTGAGGCTGAGGGAGAAGCAGACTCCCCGCTGAGCCAGGAACCCCGTGGGGCTGGATCCCAGGACCCTGGGATCATGGCCTGAGCCGAAGGCAGATGCTCAACTGACTGAGCCACCCAAGCGCCCCAGTGTTTCACTCTTTTCTTTCTTTCTCCTCTATCATATTACAAAGGTAAAAGGTGCAACTTTTTAAACAACTGATAAAAATGCCTAGCTCAGTAATGAATCATTGACTTTAAGAAGACCTTTGAAACTGTAGAATTTTGTAGTAAACTGGGTTCCTGACATCAAGGAGACATAACTAAGTTTGACAAATATTAAACCAGATACACTTAATTACCAATTATAAGTGGATTATACCAAAAGCCTAACTATTTGCAGTCAAACAGTTGTTGAGATGTCCTTGAGACTCAGGGCACATGTGATTGCTAACTATTGAGCAAAATTGTTTTAGTTTTGATGTGTGTAGTTTTACTTTGTTTTATTTTAAGTTTAAGGTGATCACAGAGATTGACTATCCCTCTGCTTAATATTAGTCCCTGAACATTGCCACGTGACGGCTCAGTGTGACCGAGTTCCGACTGTCAGCCTGGCTCAGAGGATCTGACAGGATCAGCAAAGTCATAGGATGTTTTCCTGAGTTTCCTCTAGTTTCAGATGAACGCTTAGAGTCTGAACTGGCACTTCCTTGTCTGACATTCCTCTGACAGAGTCTGCAGTCTCAAGGAGTGAACTCTGTCTAAGCAGCATCAAGGTTACTGATTAAACCCATTGTCAGTTTCAGTCTAGAATCTACAGGGCTCTCCCTGACATTGTAAACAACAGGCTGTGCTCCTGAATCCCCAGGTGCTTGCCACTGCCATCAGAATCTTGAAGACTAAAGATCTTTGAGGGCAATTTTAGGTTTCCTGGAGCTACGTGACACCCAAAATCGTCAATCAGAACCAGACTTTGCTTGGAGCTGCAGCTGGATGAATGGCAGTTGGATGGGTTACATGTGGTTCTGTGCTGAAAACGGAATTGTTAGAGGAGAACAGTGTATTGCCTTGGGTTTCTGCCATTGCACCTTCCCAGACCATGTTCTCCTTTGATCAGCCTTAGCTCTCTGATAATCGTATCTTACCTCAAAATGATTTGTGTCTATCTTTTTCCTCCTCTCTTAGACTCAGGCTGGGGTAAGGTCTTAGTCTTCTTTGAATCACCTGTGCATCTCTGGCATTATCCAGCTTATTATCCCGTTCAGATGTTCAATAAATGATTTTTTAAATAGTGAATAAATAAGTGACCTAAAGGGGAAACTGGAGCCATTGTCTCTGAGAAATAATTCCCATGTTAAACTTCCACCTTTCATCTCTCTTGCTTTTTCCTATTTCAGCCACTAGTTGGGGAGTTGTTACTGCATTTCTTTTTTGATTCCGTGAAAAATAAATAAATAAATAAATAAATAAAACTGGATGCTGTTGAGTATAGAGTATACTAAACTGGTTAGGCAGGATAGGAGGACAGCACAAAAGTAGAAGGTACTAGCACTCTCCTCAGATAACTGTGCTGTTTACTAGGAATTTTTTCTCTTGCTTTAAATTCTTGCAGAAGTCATTGTGGCTCTTTTTTTTTCTTGTCTTGATTTTAACTGGGATACTGAATGGTGGCAATGAGGAAGTTGGAGAGAGTATTTGAGAGATACATTGCAGATGACTGTATTTGAGAAAGTTATCATATAAAACAATCACAGAACAACTGAACTGACCATGACCCTTAGAAGGAAAGAGGACTGTGGACACTGCCTAGGGGGTTCAGCGGTTGTCAAAGCATAAGAAGATTTTTGAAGAATCTTATACTTGACACAGTAGCCAAATCTTGATGATTGTTACTGAATATACTTAAAATCTCCTGAATTTTCTTTTTGATATGAATTTATTTTAACCATAAACAAGTATACAAAACAGAACTTAAATTATATTGTGTCTATTCCATATTTCTTTTCCCCTCATAGAGAGTTACATTTTTCTGAAGTACTCTTAGTTCTAAAATAATGATCAAAAATTAAATCCATAGGCTACAACTAAACCTGAAGATCGAAATGACCCCATGCTTCTTTACAACAAAATGACATTAGCCCAGATCCAAAATAACTTTTCACTAGAGATCGATGGGAAGGTAAGTAGCAAGTTTCGTGTTCTCTGTTATTGTGCCGTTTCTAAAATTATAACAATGAAATACAGTTTGGTAAAATTCAGTGATTACTTATTTATTGAAATAAATTGAACTTCAAAATGAATTTAGATGACACCAACCATTTGACTTCATGATAAGACTGGAAAAAAAAACACAGACCTATGTAAAATCACTGTATTTGCTTTAGTTAAAGTGAATTTCAAAGGTAAAACTCCTTTCAAAGCAGCTGTGCAATGATACTAGGAACTGTTGTAGCAAAGGGTTTGGAAAACATTAAAATGGAAAATCCTTCTGAGAGACCATTATATAGCCCCTGGATTTGGACAGTCAAATAATAAAATCACTAGATTTCTTTTTAACTCCTAAAAAGGATAATTTATTTATAGAACTTGCCATATTCTCATCAAGGCCATCTATCGAGATGTTCAGAGCCATGATGGAGAAATAGAACACAAGAAATAAGAAAAATTTGTCTCCTAAATTCCATTATAAATAGTAGTAATTCATTAGCTAGGATGCAGTAATCTCTTTTGGGGACTGTGTATGTATCCTTGTGTATTAGTTGATGCACATGATCGGGAAGTGAAGCAAGATAGGAAAATCTACAAACTATCACATTCAGTGATAGAATTCTCTTTGGCCCTAATTACAGTTAAAAAAAAAAAAAAGGACTTTGTAAAGGCATGACCTATTGTTAGGAATTTGTCACATAGAACTGTTTAATATAATAAGGGCTTCATAAATCCATTTTGAAAGAATGGTCCAAACTACCAAAGAGAATCAAGAAAAGCATATAGCACTTAATACTTAATAAGTGATCAGTATATTTATATACTTACAAATGTATAAACTTCTCAAACACTGAAATATGGCTGCACGATTTGCATAATCTCCATGTCTATGGGTTTTTTCTTATATCTACTGGTGGTTGAATAACCACAATTCCCTTTTAGAGAATAAAAGATAAGATTTCATCTTTTAGCAGCTCCCAAGTGTAAAAATTGCACGCCTATAGACCCAATATTGATAGTTTCAAATGTGTTGTTGGGCTTCATTGGACCATTCATGTTGTATCTATAACATTACTGTACCTCTCCTATGACAACAGTATGCTTTCATTTATAGCAGGATCTCCACCGAGGTGTATTACGGTGTTTGAATGGATTGTTATATCTACTTTTAAAAGATAGACACTTCATACCCATTTTAATTTTTGCATAAACCAAGGAAGTTTTATTTTTAAAGCTAGATTTCTTTTCTGTGTGTGTGAGTTAGACCAAGATGGATGACACTGAGCTGAATTTCTAGCTGTACATCCTCTATCCTTAGAAGCTTTGCTTTTGCTCTTAAATGGTTGGCTTAATGCTGCTATCTGAATAATCAGGCTGCAGAACTAATTTTTATTCAAAAACTGATTGGAACAATGGGGGGAAAAGTCCAAACAAATGTCACACTGACCATCGTGATAATTATATAGAGATGCAAATGGCACCCTAACCATGTCTGACTCCATAACCATAATTGAGTCTTAGAACCAAGAAGAGAAATCCAAAATTACTGAATGTTTTCTGCCTGCTTTTTTCCAGCCATTCAGCTGGTCAAATTTCACAAATGAAATCATGTCAACTGTGGATATTAATATTCCAAATGAGGAAGATGTGGTTGTTTATGCTCCAGAGTATTTAACCAAACTTAAGCTCACTCTTACCAAATATTCTGCCAGGTAGGTATGTCAGAGTGTCTATGTCCTCAAAATTTACATTTAATATCACTCTTTAGAAGCTTTGCAGCCTCATCTTTTCTGTTGCTGGGTGGTGGGTTTTTTTATACAGAGATCTTCAAAATTTAATGTCCTGGCGGTTCATAATGGATCTTGTAAGCAGCCTCAGCCGAAACTACAAGGAGTCCAGAAATGCTTTCCGCAAGGTGAAGAAAAAATCTCTTTTCTTAAGACTTAAAGCATAAAGAGATACATGGTTATGAAGGCTTGCCATGTACACTGCTAGAATGTGGTGAACTTTGCCAAGAGTCAACATGCCAAGTATTGGTTATTTCGCCCATATTTAGGCTATGTTGCCTAGGAAAGCCAGCTTTCATGGGCTTTGCCGTCCTGTGATTGTCTACTCTGGCACCATGATTGAATTGTTCTAGGAGGAGATGAATCTGGTTATTGGAGCAGTTTGTGAAAGAGTACTGGCTTGGTTTTTTGTTGTGTTGAAAGTAATTGCAAGGGTATATATCTCAATTAACTTGACTTCCAGGTGCTTGTAGCACACTAGACACACAGACAGATGGACTGCATTGATACAGACAATCCACTGAGAGCACACCTACCTGGGGACAACCATAAGGCCTTTTGTTAGGCTGTACCTTCACTATTTAAACAATCATCCTAGTAGTCCTGTGGTGAGGGGAGAGGGCAGGAGGGATAGAAGAAGGAGACATTTTGGCAAATGTACTGGGTGGTGTTATGGAAAGGAAATAACTGTTTAATTGAAATTTTTAGCATTTACCCTTTGAAAGAAAATGTAGACAAATTTTTAAAATTAAAGAATGTAAAAATGGTATCTTGCTCAATTTCCCTTATTTCAGTTAATCCCCTCATTGGTACTTAAATTTATATACGTACAGTTCTTCTAAGTACTGAAAGTTCAGCCAAAACATTAAAAAACAGGAATGTGTTTTCTTGTATACCAGATTTCTCCCCGGTTACATAAATTGAACATTACTTCATGTTTATGTTTATGCAGTTGGAACTATTATTTTTTTGTTTGGTTTTGGATGGGGGGGCATTTTGTTGTTGTTGTTTTCTGAAGCTGTCTAGAAGGATATTCACCTGTAATAGCCTAAAGTTCTATTGGGACATGCTACCGAAAATATACCTTGTTTTCGGACTATTTATAAGTAAACTATCCAGTTGGATTACATTTTGTCATGGGCAAGGACAACATGCCTTGTGAGGAGAAGCAATGAACATTTGCAAGAACTTAAGGGACATAAAGGACAGAGTTCTGTGGAATGTGTGTTCTCCTTTGCTGTGGCCATCTACTTGTGTTTAGATGCCCTTTCCTTTCTCTTACCCATAGGCCCTTTATGGCACAACATCAGAAACAGCAACATGGAGACGTTGTGCAAACTATGTCAATGGAAATATGGAAAATGCTGTGGGAAGGCTGTACGTGGAAGCAGCATTTGCTGGAGAGAGTAAACATGTGGTAATGTTTTCAGCACGATACTATATCAGTAGTTGTTTGCATCGATTAGCAATTACAATAGTTCATAATTTGGCTAGTTTTATTAATTGGCAGAGAATCTCGGAATCATAATTTGTTGTTATTTCTCAGTGAATCTCCCCCTCCTTCCCCCAAGGGTCTGGTTATGTTTCTAATCTTAATATTGTCTAGTCCAAAACCAATTGTCCATTTTCCAAAAGCAGTGTATTCAGAGTATCCACTCATGTGTTCTGGTGGTAGAGACATTTGTAAAGTCTCCTGTTAGCAATTTGACCAAGAATCAGTGTTTTCTGAAAAACTTTGAAAGTAAACCAGAGTTTATTTGAAATATTTAAAAAATGTACTCCATTTTTCATTGTTATTGAAATGAAGACAATGGAACTTAAAGTGAAATTAAAGTACTACTTCTTAATTGAACTACTAACAGTGATGACAGTTACTATTTCATGTGAATTCTTTTATAATCGTGGAAACTATTACATTCTAAAGATGATTTTTTTT